TGCTGTAGATATTTTTTAGTACTGCTACTTATTATGCCCTCCACTTCTCCACTTCCCTGAACTTTTTAAGAACACATTGCACACCAGGCAGAGGAATGCCAAATGTTCAGCTATAGTTCTTAGTAGCTGTAGATACAACTAAAGGAATGGGAACAACATATATGTTTTTTGTGATATTCTGCTAGTAACAAATTGCTTAAAGATGCCATTTAAAATGTCAACATTTAAAGGATAACAATTGAAAGACCTTCAGAAACCCTGGAGAGTTCTTGCTTTAAAATAGTGTCGCTTCTTGGAAGCCAAATATAACGAAATGAGAGCTGGGTAAGGCCTACACAGGAATAAAAGGATGTACATTTAAGGTTTAAGCTAAGTATATGAGATGAGGAAAAACATATGTATTGCTAAAGTTTATGATGATTTGCTAGAATGTCTAAAGGTTATTACTAACATGATAATTTTATTATTTGTATTTCCCGTGTTCTGAAATTGTTGGTTTGCCAAGCCTGATAAGTGGCTCGTTATAGCCCCTGATATAGACCACCACGTAAAAAATGGCATCACACATGTGACTCCAACAAATGGTGCGACCACACAAATATAAACACCCACGTATACTCACACACTGCACCTCTTGTTAGTGGAACATTTCGCCATGTCCATGTAAGGTATGCTGTCCTTACTCAGCCTGTTCTTTGTTAAATCTGCTCACCTTGTTCTGATTTACTGGAACGTCAGCTAAAAGGGCCTTTGTGGACAAGGAGAATTATATAAGATGAGCACATAATAGTATCCTCTGAGCCATGCGTGAACTTGGAAAAACAACCACTTGTCTGAGTCATAATAAGAGCTGAAGGTCATTACACTTCAGTTAAAATCTTTATTAAGTTTAGTACAACCACCCAATATCCACTGTTCTGTAGTTTAATAAAGTTTCAATTAATAAAAATGAAAGCATGACCTCCCTCATCCTATTTTGCAAGTTCACTTTGGAAGTTGTGCTTGGAACTGGAAAGACATTTCTAACTTTTCCCAGAAAAACCCCCAGAAAAATCTAAACAAAAACAGCATATCAGCTTGTTTTTGTCCATGTCTGCTTCCCCCCTGTTGCTCACCAGCAGCTGAGAAATGACTTTAATGGAGATGGAGGGAGAGGGAAATGAGGGCCAGCCTGAAAGCAAACACTTCACGTCACTGCACACCTGCTTTTGGCCTCTTGGTTCCGTGGGAGAAAATGCACTAAGGTTGCACTTTAGCACATAACCGCCCTGTTTGTTTGGTACACTCACCGCAGACAACAATAGCTAAGTGTCTCTCTGGGCTTGAACAGGCGTGGGTGGGTTTATTTAGGAATTTGGAAATCTGTTTATCTTACCTGTCACTCATCCGGCTTCAGGTGGCTGTCGGCCAAATGTGGAGTAAGACCGTCATCCACAATAGTTAGGCTCATTACTTATTTATTCATTTTTTAAACAGTTTTTGGAAAGCCAAATTGGCACTTTGTCACTAACATCAGTTTCCTGAATGTTTTGATTAAAAAGGAAATTTGAGCATTGATAAGGGACCTTTGTAGGAAGGATGCGGATTAATGCTCTTCCACACATCCTTTAAACCGTTCAACACAACAAGAAATGTTAGCCATTTCACTAGCTACACCACAGTATGACTCAGTATTATTGCAAAAATAACTGTATGTTATAGATGCCTGTTGCCACTGTTAAGTCATCCATCTGTTTAAGCTTTGACTTTAGCTTTGTAACCATCACCATCTCAACACAACAACACAGGGTCAACAGAGAGACATGGATACCTGTTAATTAGTGCTATATAACTGATTAATAAAAACCAAAGATTTTGCCCAGCAAAACTGGAAATCTTAGACATCTGTTAGTACAGTTAGAAAGTAATATTATTTGTCAGGCAACTGCATCCAAAATGCACCAACACTACAGTCATGGTATAGCGGACCAGTTCAGTGACTCTAGTTAACAGAGGTGAAGCCACAGAGTCCGAAGTGATAAGTAAAAGTAGCACTAATCCTAAAAATGCAAACCTTAATAAAATGTAAATGCACGAGTTATTGAAAGAAACCATCAATCATGGACTTTTTATGAAGGAAGAAATGAACTGTAGAGACCAAAACTACTTTTGTAGCAGGCTTTAAACATGTTAAGTTTTAGTCAACAAAATTCAGAAAAAGTCTGGTATGTTTGTTTATTTACTACAATCTGACATTTTTATTTGCCTCTACCATCTTGTGTCATCCCTTTAAATATTATTGTTGTAACTCTATTGTAAGACTTGCACAAAATGCGCTTTCAATGCAGCTATTTCACTATGGAGTTATTACATTTATTTTAAAGTGTTGTGTTTTGTGTTGTAGTTTTGCCATGCATACCATACATATCTGTTTTTTGGTAATTTAGAATAATTATAGGTGGTTATTTATCAGGGGCAAAGTTTAAGAAATTCCAACTGGTAATACAGCAAAAACAAAACACTGTAAAGGAGGCTGACTCACAGTCATTTAGACGTCTCGGTCTCTGTAAATATTTGCATCAAATCTCCATGAAACTGGCTAAATAAAACTATGGGGATTTCTGTATTTTTTTATGTTACTCTGGTCTTCCACAAATGCCTCTTTGGACACTTTTTATTTATGCTTTCCCCTCACTCCAACTGGCTCCAGAGCCTAGTTCTTTTATAGGTTACATCTGTTAGGTTAAGTTTTCTCTCTCACCACTGTCACCAGGTGCTGCTCCTACAGTATCACTGAGTTTCAATTATGTTTTAAAGCACCCTATGATGACTCTTGCATTGCTTTGGCACTAGAATTTAGAGTGGACTTTTATTTTTGCTCACTTCCAGCTCCTTATTTTTATTCCTGTGTTCTAATTAGAGTAGCTTTGAGTGATTCACACTTTGAAATAATCCTTATTGTTCTATTAATGCATCTTGCTACAGCACCTCAGTTCATCCAGTCTGAAAAAAGCCCTTTTAGATCCTCTCCCTTTGAAGGTCACTCTCCCTTTAAGCCAGATGTCTTCTGATTGGCTGCCCCTGGTATGTGCAACATTTGAACAGGAGGTGGGTGGGGCATCTGTGTGCCTTAGATGACCTTATAAGGGCAATGTTCCCAGTGACAGTGTACAGAGCCAGGAGGGGAAAAAAACTGTGTGAAATTAATGGTGCATTCCTGAATTAGTCTGAAATTCCATGTTCCCAGTTGAAATTATTTTGTGGAACGCCCCCTGAACTCAGGTTTCCCACTCGGACAGTCAGAGCAGACTGACAATGCATCAAGTTAGGAATGATGGCACCCCTGAATGTAAACAGTAGTAGAACTGTGCACTTCTGCTTATCCTTATCATCTGTTGTACATTATATAAATATGGATATAGGTATATAGATATTGCAAGGTTTTGCAAGCAACAAGTTAGCTTGGCTGTCTGACATCAGGAGACAGCTTGCCTGGGCTTAAGGTGTGTTTTGGTTTGGTAATCTGTGCAAAGAAAACAAAGTCTCTGAATGGCACATTGCGGTTCAGAGGTGGTTTTCTGTCAAACTGTTTCTGGGATTGTCTTTTGCCACTGTGAGCTGTGAAACCTCGCGGTGAGCCTCTGTGCTACCAAAACAAACTGTCTTAATGGCAGATGACATGACTGCCTCCCTTTTCTTTCTAGCTTCTGTATTATAATGCTGACTTTGTGATTTTCTTCTTTCTGCCTTTTTTGCCTTTAGGCACAAAAAAATCACTTTTCAGATTTCTTCTTCTGGGTTTTTGACACGTGATTAAAATATGTGAGTGTCAGTGCTGTTCTTATTCAAGAGTCGCATGGTGGTGACACAGGTGGGAAACTTTTTAAAAAAAGATTTATGTGTGTGTGTGTGTGTAAATGTGTGTGTTTTATGTGTTAAACCTTTGTTCTGTTTCCTTCTTACCACGTTTTAGCCTGACTGACCTTACATCCTGTTATAGCCTGGGGTATGTCAGTTGTTTTCACATGGTTGTGCAAAAACAGCAGCATTTAGAACAACCTCTAGTGTTTACCACCGGCTTCTCAGTTACTGGAAATCCTGGGATTGAGTGAACTTACTGTAACAGCACACCTGCCACAAACACGCTGACATACACACACAAATGCGCACAAAGGCACAAAAAAGAGCAACAACAGGGAGGAAAACAAGTTTATGACAACATTTTGCCACCCGCAAACCCTTTGGCCTCAGTCCAGCACTGCCCAGAGCCAAACCGCAGAGTCCTGACATACAACATAAAGCTGCCTGCTGTCTATGCACTGTTACTCATTACCCATTCTGGCTCTGTGATTGGAAGAATTAGGGCACAGACAGCTCCTCCTGAGGGCACCCACCTGTGGCATATCAACCTCGAGGGCAGGGGCTGGACTTGACCAAATCTCATGACTCAGGCGTTACGTGCACAGCCAGTGTCAAGTTGAGACATCTGTGGGATTCGATGGTTGCATCATTTGCAAATTTGGAGACACTTGTATTGGCACATCTGGCTGAATGTCTAGGTACAAAAGTACATTTTAAATCTATAAAGCAAGTTTCTTTTTGAAAACAAGACAGGGAAAAAACACTGAAGGAAACAAGTTTCCATTCATTCCAGCAATGTTTGCATTAAGTTGACCTCTCAGTGAAAGACCTTCAAAAGATATAATCCTCAGCAGACTCTACAAAAAAAACTTTTGTTTGTGTGGTTTTGCACACTTTGCAGTGATAAATAAATAGCTTAACTAGGGAAGGATTTGAGCCCTGAAGGGTTTTATTCACATTTTGACACTCGCAGTGCCAAACAAAACAGTTTTTCTAACTTTGATGGAAGGTTTTCCAACTGTTATGTGCAGTATGAAGAGATGAAAAAAACCAACCAAAGCATTCCTTCAAGTAGAGGAATCCTTCATTTTTTATTTTCCCAATCCCATGAGGGGTTTCTCTTTGTAAATACTGTAGTTACACACTGTGTTTTCTCTCAGCAAGGCGCCAAGGCTACCCAAAGCAGGGGAAACCATCCATGGTCACAAGTTCTTCATCGGTTTTGGAGGAAAGGGGGCCAACCAGTGCATACAGGCTGCCAGACTTGGAGTCAAAACTGCTATGGTCTGCAAGGTATGGCACCCCAGTCAAAGTTTGGAGTTTTTGTTGGATTTTAGCATTAATATGTGTTCTCTCTTTTTAAAAAGAAACACTTTTTCTTGTCCACCCTTTGGCTGGTCCACGTCTTACTCAGTGCAGATAATCAGCCATCAGCTACCAAAGCCCACCAACTATTTAACAACTCTTCAAAACCTTTTAGCTTCGTTCACACTTCAGTCATTTCACTCCATCGACTCTCCATCCTTCATTTTCTCTTGATCAATACCGTACCACATGCATACGCCCACCTACGCTTGCGCGCCTTCAAACAAGCTTATTCCCATATCGTGCAACCCTGAGTCTCCAATCAGTAAGCTCAGCATGGCCTTTCAACCTGAGCACTAAAGCACCAAAGCCCCACCTCTGTCAGAACAAAGAGGCCCGATCGATAACAACCCAGTGCGGGAGGAGCTCTCCGGGCATGGGGAGAACCCAAAAATAGACACCCGGGCTTGTCAAAAACAGCCAAGATGGAAGGCCGCTCTTCAAAGAGAATGGGGCCAAGCAGCCAATACCATCCCAACCCATCATCACAGGCAGTTAGAAGTGCCCGCATTTTGGCACGTTTTTTGGAAAGCGTGGGTTCGAAGTAAGCGCCTCGGGGCAAGGTGGGGACCCCTTCCACAACCCAAAGTAGCTACAGATGTGGACATCCCAGAGCGGATCAGGGGAAGAGGGGCAGGAGGGAAAGAAAACGAAAGCGAGGTGGGCATGAAGAGGCGTGAAGGCGGGGTTATCGTGTCTTCAAGGCTTGGCGCAGCTGGTCGTGTGTTTGCGCGTGTGTGCGTTTGTTGACTTTTGTGTGTTCGTTTTTGCACATTTTCGGCGGCGGCACCATGCCAGTATGCTGGCAGGGCACACGAAAATCCAGCCCAACAGAGATTTGAGTATACCACTTTTCAAAAGTTGCCGCTAACCAAGTCTGACCCAGCTTGACACTCTCTTTGTTGTAATCGTTTTGCCTTCAATCTTTTCTAGGTTGGAAAAGACTTCTTTGGAGACAATTACATCCAGAATTTCAAGGACAACGGCGTCCACACAGGTAAGAAAGAGGGTTTTTCACGTTGCGTGCCAAATTGGTTTCCATTTTCATGGTGCATTGCAAGAAGTTCACATTCAGAGCAAACCTTTTTCAGTCTGCATTTTGCCAATTCTTTTCAAGGTTTTTTGGTTACACTGGCAAGTTCTCCCTATTGTTAAATCATTTGGCTTTGTTAATACTGAAGCTACTGAAGTTCTGCTCTGAGTTCTGACAGTTAGTAGGGTTTCTATTTTAACATTTTACTTGCCAGAGGTATGTATGGTGAATATTCCATTTTGCAGGAACAAACAAATACTTTCATTCTCTGTTGCAGAATTTGTGAAGCAGAGCTCTGATGCAGTCACAGGAGCTGCCTCCATCACTGTCGACGATGCAGGTAAATTCTACCGCTAACCTACAGCCTCGCTCGCATGGCCTCCTGTATGTACAGCCTAGAGTGCATGCGGGCCTGTGAGTGCACTGTTTTTTTTGTAATACACACACAGGACAGCTCAGCCCACTGAGTCACTACTGCTATAACACCTGTTTATAGTCATAAAAACACTTGGACGAACAACAGCGTCAAGCCCTCCCGAGTATCCACCAGGAACGCAAAGATCTATCAGCTGATATCAAATGATAAAGGATGCCTTTTACCAATGTTCATGGCCAGTATGTATATTTTGTGAG